GAATAAATTTCTGAAGTACGTAATTTTTACAGGCAAAATCAATGGGGAGCAGAATAGGGATTTTCTTTATGAAACTTGTAGAGCGTCGAACTAGTCAGGCGCGTACTCGAATAAAATAAAGATTAGTAAGGGATCCTTTTTTCCCACGTGCTGAATAAATTTCTGAAGTACGTAATTTTTACAGGCAAAATCAATGGGGAGCAGAATAGGGATTTTCTTTAGGAAAAAATAAACTTGTAGAGCGTCGAGATAGTCAGGCGCGTACTCGAATAAAATAAAGATAAGCAAGAAAAATAAAATAAAGATCCTTTTTCTCCCCACGGGCTGATTAAATTTCTAAAGTACGTAATTTTTACCAGCAAAATCAATAGCGAGCAGAATAGGGATTTTCTTTATGAAAAATAAACTTGCAGAGCGACGAGCTAGTCAGGTGCGTACTCGAATAAAATAAAGGTGAGCAATGGAGAAGAAACAGTGTGCTTAATCCATGTAATATTTTTGAAACACTATAGCGGTCGTTTAAACAGCGATGGTCGTTTTAAATATATCGGCATTTGCTGATCTCACTATATATCCTAATAAAATTCATTTATAGTCCTCTTGAAGATCATAAAATATTATGAAAAGGCACTAAAGTCAAGTAAGCTGGTATAATTATTTAAGGACTTAGAGCCTTTCAAAGTTGATTTGAGGTCAGAATAGAAACTCGTCGTTCTTGTTTTAATTTAAAAGATTTTTTCGTATAATAAACTGTTCAGCTTGAATATTACGTTATTAAGATACACTCTTTATTAAAATGTATCTTCATACCCCACATAACTTTTCAATACGAAATATTTGTTTCTCTCTAAAAGTATTAAAACTAAACTGAAAAAAAAATTCTGCAGTATTTACGGCAAGAAATACTCGTGTACTTTTACCTTAAATTTTTGAAACATTTAAAAAGTAAGTTAAATTTCAAGACATTTAAAAAATTTTCAAAGTTGTTTAAAAATTTAAATTTTCAAGACATTCAAACATTTTTAAAAGTATCAAACATTTAAAAATTCGAACACGAGATTTAGTGGCAAAGTTGAAATAGAGCAGGCTTCTGCTCTGAAAAAATATTTCTTGTAAAATTATCGTAATGTATAGTAATCATATTTCTGGTTAAAAAGAAAAAAAACCCCAATAATTCTGGTTAATAAAACCAAGATGTACGGTATTTAAGCCATTCGTTTGGTAATTTTTTCGTTCATATGGTATTGGTTTACTGGAAATGTTCAAAATTATAGGTCTTATTACCATACATATAGTAAAAATACAAATTTGGAAGGAAATGAATCCGAATAAATGGTTTTTATGTTATGCTATAAGGTATGATAAAATTACCAAAATTTGCCAGATTTATCAAATTGTGTCTGAAAACCATGTAATCAATCATAAAACAATATTTTATTGTTCATTTTATCAAACTCATTACCAAAGTGCTTCAGTAACAATTACCTTTTTAAGGAGAAAAATAATCCGGAATATTAGTAAGAAAACAATAAAATCCAACAGCTTTTTTTTTATTACAGTTTACAAAAATATTCTTGAAAAGTTAGATTTTTTTATGTTTAATATCAATTTTCAAGTGTGAAACATAAAAAAGTAGGAAAAAAATGTAGCCATTTCCCCTTTATTCATTTAAAACTAATAAAGATTTTTACTATAGATCTATACGCATTTATTTATACTCAAAATTGCTCAATCTTTCTCATATTAAAACGTTTATAAATTAAAATTCATTAAAAAATGTCCGGATTTTATAAGGCGTACTTGAATTTAAAATGCTTAGATGTTTAACTTATTATTTTTAAGTAAAACAATTTAATTTCTTACTTACATAATCTATCACATTCTGTTTCTGATTCTCTGGAATCATCCCTAAATATTCTATCTTCAGTTGTTCTAGCAATATACCTTAAATCTTCCTTAGCTTCAGTATTTCCATTACTAAAATAAGCAAAAATTCTAATATGTGCATCTGATCTTCTTGTTTGAAATATAATAAATTTGACTGTGTGAATAATTCATTCATTAAAACTAATTGTTTCATTTTATGCGAAATTTTATTGCTATAGTATTCGGAATTAAGGGATAAACTCGAATTTTGTACCAATTTGCATTAAAAACTAAGAATGGAATTTCCAATAAGAAATAAGGAAAGGATAAATATTAAATCTTCTGACACTGATAATTAAACTTAAAAATTTTCTCAAACAATAAGTCAAACGCGATTTATTTTTAAGCGATGAATTTTAAAATTTGAACACACAAGTACGCACATTGTGTTTTATACATTAATATAATTTAAAGGGTACTATATGAAAAAATTCATAAAATAAATCTTTAGATTTTTTTTATTTCACCATTTGACAATAAGCATAATTGAGAGGATTTTTTCGAAAATCCTCAGAAGTGCAGAAAGAAACTTTAAAAAAAATTCAAACTTTGTGAAAGATATGAACCTAAAATATTTATTAAGTATTATTTCATTTCTTTTACGCAATTTTTAAACGATAAAGGTATCATTAGCTTAAATTTTCATTCGATTTGGTTGAAAATTGAAAGCAGATTTATTAAACATGTAGCTTGATACTTTATGAAAATCTTACTAAAAAGTGAAAATGATTAAATGCTGACTAATCAATAAAAAAAAAATTAAATAAAAAACTTCAATAAACCGCCATATTGTTCTAGTTTATATTTATTTATATATTTTTTCATTGATGACTGATGATTTAAATTAATTGAATGTCGAGAATAATGAAAGAAAGGCCAGATTCATCTATTTTGTCAAGTATAAGGTTAAAAGATATTAATTTCTCCTATTAACAAAATTAAAACGGACTATACATTTTCTTGAATAGCAAAGGCAAATGAATTGAAATATTAAGAAGTTGACGATAATCCTATTTTCGGGAAGAAAAATCTGTTTTTTAAGTAGTTGTTGCCTTTAAATACTGAATTAAAACCGTCAACGACTTCCATAGACAAAAAAAAAAAGAAACTTTGTGAAGGGACTAATTTAAGAAATGATAAATATTGTAAAAATTTTGATCTTAATATTTCATGAAGTGTCCCTTTTTACGTTAAAAATATTTGTTAAACACCCGTTAACCAAATGTCTTAAGAGACCCTTACTACTCTTTTAGAAAGTAGGGGAGAGTGGGGTCAATTTTAAAATTTTTTACTTAACTATTTTCANGATTTATTAAATACACCTTGTGTGCCACCTAGGAACCAAATCTAGAACCCGACACTCGAAATTTTTGCTCTGTTACAATCGTACCCTGTTACAATTGACCCCACTCTCCCCTACTGAAAAATATTTAAATAGCAATTTAATGAATTGTTATTTTACCATATTTACAGAAAACAGTCAAATAACCATAAATACGATGGTATTCAAATTGTTAACAGTGAAAAAAAACCTTTGATAACTGCCATCACCAAATCAACTGCTATCACCAATCAGAGTTTCATCGCAGCCACTAGGCTTACCTAAAGAAGCCACTTAGTTTTTTTCAAATATATACATATTATAGTCGAGAGGGCTAATGTGTCAATCTCCTGTCCGGCTGAGTGGACGATTCAAATCCCAACCTTAACAACACAATATTTCTTCCAACCCCTCCAACACATGAAGAGTTTCCAGTATCCTGCACTCTTCAATTCGTGACTCAGGGCTATTAGAGTACAATACTCTCATTCACGCATAGATAGCAAATCTCTAAGGCTGCTTAACACAAAAAAGTATAGTTTTTCTCATCTCTTTCGATAGCCGGAACAACCAGATAAACTAATTATACCACATTTCATGGTTAATTTGATAAAACACAACACAATCACAACTTAACCCCATTACTTAACAAAAAACCCAGCTCCGATGTCAAGTTAAGTTTATTTTCTTGTAGTTTTGAGACTGTGGCGTAACTACCACTCCGAAAATTAAACATCAATTCACTGGTATATAAGACATACTAACTTGATTCATTCTTGAAGTACCTTTTGATAGATGAAGGTTGACATTGTCTATAACACTTCACCCACATTGGTGACTTACGGACGTGATATGATCACGCCTACCTTGACAGTAACGCCCACTTCGATCTGGTAACGCCTTTTTCGATGGATGGTCCACATTGAACAGTTGACTTGCTACTTGTGACTGCAACATTATCCACCCCCTCGCGCTGTTGCTGCTCAGTGTCGTCTCGATCATACACAACGTCAGCCTACATACACTCGACAGCTAAATGCAACACAGGAGCGACTACGACCGTGAAGTTAATACACCTCTCACATTCAGCACTCAAAAATACCCGGTGACCTTAATCCAGCTCTCCCGGTACTTTCACAAGTACAGTAACTAGTGATATCCGTTTATCGAATTCTATCCCTGATAAAATTCTGGTGTGGGAGTATTGTGGCGTAACTACCATTACGAAAATTGAACATCAATTCACTAGTATATAAGACATGCTAACTTGATTCCTTTTGATAGATGAAGGTTGGCATTGTCGATAACACCTCCCCCGACAAGACCATGTTACTCGTAAATAATTAAAAATCCGTGTAGTTTTATACTAACGGTTTTCAATCTGTACTAGTTATAAACGGTTTCAAGACCGTAAAGGTAGAAAAATGTTCCTTACCGCAAGCATTACGGTTAAGGCTGTTTTTCGAATTCTCCGTGGTAATATGAAATGCTTTTTTTGCGTTATATTCATGCCTACTATAATATGTTATATGTATAACTACTGTGAATTTATAAATGTTACTCTTGGCTGTTAGGGCAAGTTTAACGTATTTAAAGCCAGCTCTGTCTACGCTTATTTAGAAAATGGGCCAAAACGACAATATGGCGAAAAACCATAGTTTTGAGAAATGAAAAGTGCTTGTGAACTAGTTTTTTAATTTTTAGAACCTTACTCCTAATGCTGCATTATTTTGGGCTCATACCAACTTTCAAAAACTGAAAATAAGGCATTAATTTTGATAGTTTTCATCTAGGTGGAGAAAATGTCACCAAATTGGCGACTCTTAAAAAAGATTCAATGACTTTCTATTTAAGTTATTTGTCTATTCTAAAACCTAGATAATTCTGCACGGTAAGATGGTATAGATTACAATCACTGCATTGCTTCAAGTGTAAGGCACTTAAACTATGACTTTTTATTTTTCTTGGTGACAGAGCTTCAAAAAACATCCTTATTTGGATGAACAGACTACTGTTGGTTATTTTACCGTAATTTAAGAATAAAAATTGTAATAGTGTATGTGATAAACCCTATCTCCTTTATATACCCTCGTTTTATCTAATAAATGAATACAGTGTAGATTTGAGATAAAAATAATTTATAAATAATAGTGATATTTCGTGAAGTAAGCAAATATTTAAAAATGCTTAAAACCTTACCTTTCTCGATTCCCTTTTATTGACCTCTTATTCCGAATTCGCTTTGATTCACTGTAGATGATTCGATCACCATGAGAAAACCTCGTCTCAATGCCTAATTTTAGAAAATAAAATAAAAGCGGATTCTAATAATGTTACAATGTAAATAAAATTCTCTCCTATAGATTATTTCAAGGTATTTGATTTACAGCATTACAAAATCATGAATTGAATTGTATGATGTTAATTGCTATTTTGAACAAATTTCTGATTTGTACCCCTTTAAAGAATCTAATAGAAAAAAGAAGAAATTCAATCTAATATAGAAGAAAATTCAATCTAGAATATAAGAAATAATAGAAGAAAATAGAAGAAGAATAATAGAAGAATAGAAGAAAATTCAATCTAATAGAAATGAAAAAAAAAGGCTTGGATAAAAACGAATTTTGTATGCTTAAATTGTTTTGTTTCATAATGCCTTATTTTATTACATAAACCTTGTCAACCTATCCTATATAATTTTTATTTTCCGTAAATTTTCATACTGTTACATTATATATTAATATGTAATAATATTGGCTGTACTGAATTGAGGTTATAGTATAAAACAGTAACTGCTTGTAGGTTGCTCATATGGGAAATTACGAAGGCTTACGTAACAAATAGGTTTGTTAGTACAACTAAATTGATTTTGAAAAGTTGAAACGGATATAATGTTTAGTTTTCGTATTGCAGCTTTGTTATTGTGTTTTGAAATTTATAGAAATCAATTATTACTAATATCTTTCATGCAGAGATAATAAAATATTCGCATCTGTTTCAAGGTTAATATTAAATTTTTGTAACAAAAGGTACTTCATTCTATAATTATCTCATTCCTTTAAATTTGGGTTACTTACGCAATACACTTTAAAGTGATGTTAACAAATTTAATTCCGATTGTTTTTACTATGATTGTCAATGTAAATAAATATATTAATATCATGGTATACTTAAAAATAATATGATATAGAAAGTGAAAAAAATACACTGACTCATTAATAAGTTGGCCATTAACGTATTGCACAGAAAGTTGGCAACTTATATAAGTTTCCCTGCTTTGAAACTAATCCCCTATACAATTTAAATACGTCGCTTAATTCTTTATTGTCTATACTTTTTTAAATATATAAAAATAAAATAAAATCCATTTATGCTACATAAAATTTATTTCACGATTAAAATGCAAATTTAGTAACTAAATATAATAAATAAACCAAACTTATCCAAGAACGCCAGAACAGTATTACATTTCATTTCACCATATCATTCGAAACCATGCATATAATGTATGAGTATGTGAATAGATACAATAGCCAATAAATGAATGAATACCTGAGTGATGATATGCTTGGAAATATAGGGTAGGAGATTCATAATTGCCCTCACATTTCTCCGACTATAAGAGAATGAAATATGATTCATTGAATAACTCTGATGAATACTTGCATATTCAAGTTCATTATTCATTTGTCATGCTGATAGATCAGAAATTATGTTCACATTATTATGCCTGTCAATGGAACGCTACCAAGAGATTTTTAATCCTATTTAGTTAAAATGTAGGACTATTACAAGAGTTTAGATTTTAAAATGATGGGTTGAATTATAATTCACATTATTCAAGTGTTTTCTCACTTAAAATAAGATTTTTTTTGTTATTTATGAAGAAAATAGCAAACAAATTATATTATCATGAATTGCAAAAGAGGTTGTGAGAATTAGTATAACCATGTAACTGAAACATTTTTCGAGTAATAAATAAATAGTTTAAAAGTTATAAATAGATTTTTGCTTTCGATTTAGTCGCGGTTAGTCTGTGAATTAATGAGTCTTACATCACTAATGAAATACAAAATTAGCCGCTACATTGATTGTTAAGGAAAGAATAAAATATTTTACATTTGCTTTTTATAAAATGTAATAAAAGTTAAAATTTAATTAAAATTCGGTTTAGAATGATTAAAAAATTAGTTTATCAAATTAAAAATATATATAAAGGCTAAAAAATATGTAATGCCTATTGTGGCATCACAGTAATAAATATAGGAAGTACTTGTTTTATCATGTCGTACTTTATCCTTCCTCAGATATTTATCGCGTATTTATTTCCCTCACACATATAAATATAAAAAAGTTTTTATGGTGATAAAGTGATGCTACTAAGTTTTTGCCTAATCTATGATCTGCGAACAAGTGGTACGTGGAAAGCTTACTGGTTGTTGAAAAAGAAAATTCAGATTTTTAAATCAAAAATCCAAAAATATTGCTTTGCAATATTAAAATAAGCATTAAATAAGATTTAAAAAAAAATAGTTTAGTCAGTGTATTAACCGACGAAAAAGTCTACTTAGATTAATTTTTCGATTAAGATTTAATGAAGATTCTAAACATTCTATGATAAATTGTTTGGTATTCTTTTTGGTTTCCAATTTAGTTTGGTACTTGATTTATGTCACTCGACAAGGTTTGGTACTACTGCACTTGTATTATGCCACTCGCAATGACTTTACAGTAACTTTCTGATCACTTCGCTTGTTCTCAAGATACTAAAAGCGTAGTAATCCATTATTCTTGCGTTAAGCCAGGATGGGCAAACTACGGCCAGTGGACCAACTGTGGCCCGCCGTAAGGTTTTATTCGGCCAGCGGATAGAATTTTAACTTGCCAATCCTTGGAGAATATAAACAATATATATTCATTTTCTAGTCTACTTTGTTTAAAGCTATTTTTGTTTTTTCTTTTTTCACAAAATACTGATGACCTTTTTACTTTCTCTATTTTTGGTCTACAAAACATAAATTGATAGAAATAGCTAGCACAGACAGCTTCAATTGGTTAAACGTTGGAAGCAGAAGTTCTTTATTAAATAATCGTAGATTGGGGCCATCTGAAGCAGTTGTTTCTAAGTATGCCAAAGTTTGAGTTTTACAAATCATTACCACAAGCTAGTTTCCTAAATTTAATATTTCAGGCCCAGAAAATCAGAGCTATGTTTGCTTCATCTTACTCATGTGAACAAGCATTTTCAACTATGAACCTTAAAAGAAATTATTTCAGAAGTAGACCAACAAGTAGACAAAGATTTAACCTTGTTCCTCAAAATAAGTACACCTCACTTGGAACCTCAATATAAAGAACTTTTAAAAATGAAATCGCAATTTCATTCATCTCATTAAATATTTAAATTAAAACATGTAAGTATTTTTTTTTATTTTAGAAGTTTTTACTTAGCCTACCAAACTTTTTTTTCTCGAATTTTGGCCCTCGACCGAAAAAGTTTGCCCATCCCTGCGTTAAATATAGTTTAGTACCGTTCTTGTTAAAAACTGAGAGATGTCGATATTTGAAAAAAAATAAAGATAAAATAAACGTTAGAAACAAGAAAATATGTTTAAAAAAATACTTACCTTTCTTTTGACGTAAGGGATATCATAGTTGTAACTATGTCTGGTATTCTGCAGTGTTCCAGTATTCTTCTGACAAAGATTCGAATTTTGAATGCACTGGTCATTATAATTGAGAACACGACTACTGGCATAATAGGCTGCTTCTTGTGAACTGTCGTATCTAACTGGCAGTTGCAGATTTTCTGGCTTAACTGTATCGTTTGTTTCAAAACCTGTTAAAATTACAAATGTTGGAAATAAAATGAGCTGATATATTTCTAGAGAACTCTCTTAAATGATATTCATAAAATAACACAATTTTATACGTGTTCCAAAATCAATTTTACACATATTCCAAAATCTTAGTCGTTTATAAAATACGGAATTTTAGACAAAAATGATATAAAAAGTTCAGGTCAGAGTTTGAAAATTAAGATTATTATTACTTAATTGAGAAATTATTATTTCACTATTAATTATTATTATTGATATTAGTAATGAATTAATAACTATTATTAACAATTACCAATTATATTATTCATATTATTTATTAATAATTATCAATAATTATTAATTATTATTAATAAGTATTAGGATTATATAATACATAGATACCTTAAGTATCATATTAATAATTATAGTTATTTTTAATAATTATTTTTAATCATAATTATTAACTATTACCATTAGTTTATTATCAATTATTATTTCATTAAGAAAAAAACGACGAAATCAGTAAAATCAATTTCTAAGTCATCATAGCAAAGGAAAAGTAAAAGTCTCCGAATTGTTTTTTTCTATTTTCAGATAGAACTATTAAATAATTCACCTTTAGCTATAAGTCAGGCTGCTAATTATGAGCTTATTTTTAATCCCTCAGTTGCTCTCTTCAACTTCTGTAGCGTTAGTCATATTTTGCGATCTCTTTTGTTTTATTAGAAAACATGAATACAATTTTATTATAACTACTAAAATTTACTATAAAAAAATAATGAGTAGTTAAAATTTCAGGTAGAAAATTTTTGGAAATTTATAAATATACGATCGTGCATTAGGACTTCACGTTGTTCTTTTCAATACATAAAAAATACATAAATTTGGCAAATAAGGTAAACTTTAGTAATTTTTATATAACACTTTAGGACATAACATGGATACCCTTTCTTCAGAAAATGACAAATTTTTTTGCACGCGAATTTTAAACAAAATATCTTTGAAGGAATTTCAAATAAACTAGGAGGCTTCGCCCCCTGCTCGCTAGTGCTCGCCAACCCTCGGAACTGCTTTCCCAGTTCATTTGGGATTGCTTTGCAATCCGATGCTCGCTTTGCTCGCTCATTGGATACGTTCTTAACGTCTAGCTTTTGTATACTTTTTTGAACACTGAAGTTCCGAAAACTTTTCACTATAGAAAATTCTAAACCTGTGCATTTCAATATTAATTTGAAATTGCAAACAGTTCACATATTTTTCTTAATCACACTATTCTAAATTTCAGTTGTTGAGAAAAGTAACTGTTGTAAGTTTTGTTTTAAAGTCTTTCCCACCA